ATACGTCCTGGTGGAACTGGTTAGGTTGGTATCAAATCGCTGGACTTTAATAGGTGGAAAAGTACAACATGGTGAGTTTTCCCCACTTACTTTGGATGAAGGTTTATTATTGCAAACCTTCGCCAAGGTTGTCGAACAGGTTTCTTATTTACCTAATGCAGTTTCTCTCTTCATCCACTCTCACTCTTCTACATTATTACTGAAAGTTCAACTTAGTTTCATTTTGAACAAACATAAGTCATTGGATGACCTTTAAAGCACAGCTCTACATGGGCAGGATGATGAAAGAATTCAAAACATTTTAGGATGTTGACAGCTCCGACCACTTTTTTTCTTGTAAATGATGGAAAATGTGACTTCTTCAGACCTAAATAATATTAAAAATAAACAACTTGCTCGATACAAGAAAATCTGGAATTTGAATCTGGCTTGTTTCTAGAAGGGCTGTTTTACAGTTTAATGAGCTAGATGAGCGATATAGAGTAATTAACTATTGAAATGTTATTTTATAGACTCAAATTCTAATAGTTAGTGCTAAGAAAAAAGGCAGATCATTAAGTAAAATCAGTGTCCAGTATGGTTCCTACATGGAAGTTTCTCCCAACAGTTTCAGTGTAACACACCCCGTGCAAGCTCTTTCATCCATGTGTATTATTTATACCAAGGATTCTCTATAATATATAATATATATACATGAAGCAGGTTTTGCTGCAACTGTCCATTCCCTGAGCACACAATCAGACACAATCACAAACAATGTATTTTTATTGTATATACTGCACACACACAAACACCTACACACAAACACCTACACAGCATAATCTCAGTTTGCCCCAAAGTTCAACAAAAGAATATCTCCAGCAACTCCCTCTGATGAGCCGTTGTCTGTGTGTGTGCAGCAACCATCTGAGGTCTAGTACACTCCTGCATTTGAAACGAGAGAGTAAGAGTAAGCTAGACTTAGGTGTCATTTGATTAGAAAAAGAGGAACTTCACAAATTTAAAACTATCGGCATAATAATAGTGGAAAATGTGCAATTTCCTGAAGTTAAAGTTAATGACTTCAAATAGACTGTTTTGTCTGACCATCAGTCCAAAGCCAAAAAATATTCAGTTAATCGTTTAAAGCAGAAATATTTTGTTACTTTTGCTTGAAAAAAGTAGTTGTAGAATATTTTTCTATTGGTTGACTAATCAACTAACTGACTGTTTGACCTCTGTGTAGTTTCATTGTCTAACTGTTTGCGACTTGACACCCCTTTTTATTGCTTGTTGCAGCCTGTGGCCCTAGTGGCTTCTGTGAACTTGATGTTTAAGGAGGGTCTATGACCAAAAAAAATCTCCAATATACTCAGTGCTAATAGTATGTGGCATTTCTTATACACCTGTCTTTCTGTCTCTGACAAAAGATCATTCACTGAAGAGCCTCTACTGATGTGTATGCAGCAGGGGAGAGGAGCAGGATAGCCCTGCCTGGAGCTGTTCATTGCCAGGGAGGTTGTGTCCAGCATCATCATCAAGAAGAGGAGGAGGAGGACGAGGAGGAGGAGGAGGAGGAGGAGGAGGAGGAGGAGGCTGCAGGTGCATTGGTTTGACCACATATCTCC